AAAAAAAAAAAATTTAATGCCAAAATGACTGCAATGCAAGGAAATGCAAAGATGCAGGACACTATGAATATGCAAAAGAAGAAAGGGGCAAAAGAAACAACTGTGCATTAGTGATGATTAGTGTGTGTGTGTATCCTATATCTCCCCCACACTTATCTCTCACTGTCCCAGTGATACAGAGCAGAGAAGGAAGAAAATACAGAATACAACAACACACACACTATGAGAAAAACATAAAGAAATAAAAACTAAAGAACAGAGCTATTTACAAAGAAAGGTGGTACCTTGTTAGAAGTAGTAAGTGGTGAAATTTTGGGGAGAAGGTGCAATGATCACTTGATCCCGTGGTAGTGAGAATTGCAAATTGCAAACGCAGTCTACCACAGAATACTTGTGCTGAGGAAGGAAGCACAACAGAGGGGTGTCTTCATTCTCTAGATAGCGATAGACCAAGGTATTTGGGTACAACCTTACCGCTAATGTGTGAGTGTTCACCAGGTAATCAAAGTCCATTATGGGGATTGTTTGGATGTGCCGATGCAGGCTCAAGTCAATCCCGCATGCAGTGAAAATGGGAGTAAGCAGGCCCCAATGCAAATCTGATAGGCTTGACTACCCAATGCATCATGTTTTACCCGAAAGAATTGGTTAACAAGCCAGGATCCCACTTCCGGTCGCATCCAAGGGTGTTGTATCAGTTTGCTGTACCTGTTGTTGAGCCAACGTTAGGTGGCTCCATACACCATCCGCAGTTCTTCGTCCTTTGCTAGACACGGCTGCGGCCTTGCAAACATGGTATGGCCCAGCAGCCGAAAGACATAGCGAACCGTCAGGTTCTTAACCTTTGAGATCCTGCAGACACTCGGGTGATAGGGAGCATTACTTGCAATGTTGTGCCATACTAGATCAGCATCATTCCAGATAGGGCTTGGCCTATAAGCATCACCAATAATCTCGTATATGTCTAAGAACTTAGTGTAAGAAAGGGAGAAGTGATTGCACCCTATCTTGAACTGGACCTGACCCGGTTCATTATCTGCAGTTGCGGCCAAGTAAGATACTGATGCAAGGAATTATCGGGTGAGGGAAGGATAGGTATGGGACTCCATTGAAGATAGAGTTTTGAAGTTCAGCTGTTCGGCGAAGTCATCAAGGGTATCTCTGATTCCCATTTCAGAAAGCACCTTCCGACAAGCGAATCTAGTTGGTACCACATGGGTTTCACTGAGCCGCTGCAAGAAAGCCCATTCTGCGTCACTCCATAAGTCGGCTCTGTAATAAACTTCATCCCCACTCGAAATACTTGACGTGCTCATGTTTGTCAAAGGAGCAAGAGGAAATATTAGGATTGGAATATCTTAA